CAACATACTGGCTCACTCCAAAGAAGCAGTTGAATTGGTAGATACACATGAAAGAGGCGAAATTTGGCAGTTTATCTTTCACTCCCGAACACAAAATAGTGGTGGGTGATTTTGAAGACACAGCGTAATTCCGCAGCAGGGAATGATCTAGAGTAATGGTCAATACCGTTATCAAACGGATAGCTCATTGTTCCCTACTCTATATCCTGTGTCGTTAAACTTTAACTTGACTGTTATGATGGACAACATATTATTATTAGCTTTAAAGTCATGATTGATGCAATCAATACTATATATCGATTAATTATCAATGATTTAAATTTCTATGGACGTGTAGACGATAGACGCAGTATTGTGAAGAATAGATGGTTCCTGTTGTCACAGTTAATTCTCAGTTAATCTGACTTCAACGTCCATTTCAATGAGGAGGAGGAGTAGGACGGGGATATTTACAAGTGAACAATGTCTGAAGGCGAATTGTAACCAGAAAAGGACAACATTCATAAAATCATAAACACATCGTCACAAGATGACTGGTGATGGAATGATTCATTTCAGTGCCGCCAACTCACTGTAGTACCGCATTATGGATAAGAATTTTATTTTGATAAAATCACACACCGTGGATTTATACAGTAAGTTATATTTACTGATGACCATGCTTCCAGCACAGTTTATTACTGCTCATAATCATATCAAGGCACTCACTGACACAACTTTCTTCCTTCGTTTATATAAATGAGTCAAATTCATTAGACATTTGAAAAAAAATCAATATAAGATGAAGTACTTCATATGAACTGTGATCAAGATTTGACCGAATAGTTGCACAATAATTGAGCGCTGAGTGAGTAAACATTTATAAAATTATATTTGTATAATCTCAGCGAGATTGAAATGATTAATTCCAACGTTTCGTTCGGCAATCTGGTCCGAACTTCTTCAGGGAAATTAATCGAATTAACATAACAGATGTGTATTTATAAGAGGAACATCTCTTATTTTCGAAACTTTGTCCAATCATGAGCCGTGAAACATGCATCAACATGTATAATAAATAAATAAATAAAATTGTGTGTTTATTTATAAAAGTACATCTCTTGTTTTAAATTGTTTGTCCTGTCATGTGAATCAAGAAACAGCTATCAATAGGTATAGCAAACAAAACAAAATTTTTATATGAACTGTGATCAAAATTTGACCTCAGACTTTCAAAATTAGTCTACTTTTGTTAAAATATATGCATATATGCAGTATACAATGGTGTGTGCGTGTGTGTGTGTGTGTGGGTGTGGGTGAACAGTCATAAAACATTTGTTATTCTCTAATGAGCTGTGATCAAGATTTGACCGGATAGTTACAAAATAATTGAGATTTTTTACAAATATAATTTTTTTTATAAATTTGTTTTTACAAGTTGATCACGGACTGATATCAGTTAGAGAACCATTGAAAACCAGGGAGTACTGGACAGCTGCTATTTCATCCTAGTTTGGGAATCATCGGCAGTACTCCCTGGTTTTCAATGGTTCGCTAACTGATATCAGTCCGTGATCAACTCGTAAAAGCAAGAGATGTTCTTTTATATATAAACATACAATTTTATTTATTTATTATACATGTTGATGCCTGTTGCATGACGCATGATTGGACAAATTTTATAACAAGAGTTGTTCCTTTTATATATAAACCTCTGTTATGTTAATTCGATTAATTTCCCTGAAGAAGTTCGGACCAGATTGCTGAACGAAAAGTTGGAATTAATCATTTCAATTTCGTTGAGATTTTACAAATATAATTTTATAAATGTCTACTTCTCACTCAGCGCTCAATTATTTTGCAACTATCCGGTCGAATCTTGATCACAATTCATATGAATGTCATGTAAACTTGACGACTTACAGACGAAAACTAACAAGTTCACAGAAGAGGCTGTCAGCGAAGACAGGAATTCAGGTGAAGGTAGAGAGTGGACAGAGTTGATGAAGATAACCAACCAACCAACCACCACCACCATCACCAACAACAACAGCAAACATCAGTCAGTACCAACGGAAGACATCTGAAAGACATCACTTCCTACAGTCATCTAGGAAGCACGGATGAGGATGTCGAAACCAGAACCAGAAAAAGGAAGTCATACCTTCATTAATCTGAAATTACTATGGTAGATCTGTTGCACCCCACAGCATAATCACCAAAATTCGGATTTCCAACACTAGTGTTTAGTCGATAAGTTCATCTGTAGGAGTGAGAAATTTGACTCACGCATGACGACTAGTAGTGTGTAAAACCGTCTCCCTCTAAACCACCGGCACTCAAGGAGCGGATAAAACCTACTGAAATCTTTATACTGCATATAAAAGTATAATTTTAGTTTTTTTAATTTGTAGAGATTTAATTGACCACAAGTTTAATCATACATTGATATCTCATTTAAAGATCCATTGAAAACCATCAGGGACTACTCAAAAAAACTATTTTCTCCTGGTTCTCAACTATATAACAGTAAAAACCCATGACACTGTCGACAATGTCATCATCGGTGGAGTCCATTTTGTCAGGGTGAAGAAGCAGACGCTCGTTAGAAACCACAGGTCCACAGGGCCATTGTATATTTATTTCAAACTGATTGAAATTACAATCCACCAAACTTGTCAGTCCAATTCAATGGCCCACTTCGTTATCTGTAGGTCCCAAGGTATTATCCCTGGTACAAAGTGACAGACAGACACAAAATAGCCATCCAGTTCCCCTGAGTTTTCATTCATTCTCTAAGTGTTGAATGTGAATTAATGTGGCTTTCATTGAAAAACACACACACAAGCACACGTATTCATATAAACATGTTCCAAATACTGATCAAGAGAAGCGAATGAACCTGAATTAAATAAAGTACAACAATAAAATTGATTACCATATTATTCATTATTCTATTTCCCATGCTTACATGATTCCATCAAACTAACCAACCAAGCAAGCAACCAACCAACCAGCCAACTGACTAACCTTGAACTAACAAACTAGCTAACTAGCCTTGAGCTAACTAACTAACTGATCAGCCAATTTTGTTATTTAATTATTGAAAGCAAAAGGTTTGAGCGAAGAAATATTCACTTTTCAATTAGATCCTCATATCACTCTGACTCTATTCTAATATATTATGTATAGCACAACACAATTTACCAATCAGGCGACACTGATATGTTTGTTAACAATGATTAGTCAGTATCAACATATCATGGCGCCGAGTGATAATTAACGGAGGAAATTAATACACACACAATTAAAAGGTAGGAATGGTTGCAACACGTGAATCACGTAATGCATAATTTTGGAGAAATGAAGAGTAATTAAGGAATAAGCGTGTGCACAGGTTGGTTATGCAACGATTTGGACAATGATAACTTTTAAATATGAATGAAGTGGTCATAAGAATAAAATAGTTTTGCAATCCACCACCAGGGTTCGAACGCAGTAGCTTCCAGTTACAAAGTGAGCTCGTAGACCATTAAGCAGCCACTGGGACCCGATTCAATCGCCAGTACATGAAATCCAACTGCTGCGAGTTCATGCGCTCGCTATATAGCGCGACTGGCACTAGCCAATGTCGTCATCGGTGGCGAGTGTTTATCCTCACACTCAACCTGTTGTACCTCAATGGTCACGACTTCTCACTGGAACCCACGCAGTTACCTAGGTGAATCGGGCCGGTCGCTAGTAAGCAAATCAATACTTGAAGATATCGATTAATTGATTGATATGAGTAATTTGGCTACTACTCACAGTAACCAGTGCCGCGAACCAGATATGATTTCGGATTTTAAAGGAAATCGTAATGAAACCTCACCTCCGCCAACTATGTAAATTGCAAATTTAGAAAATATCCCCATTTAGACATTTAGAAAACAGAAAGATTGAGGCAAGAAATATTTACTTTTCAATTAGATCCTCATCTCACTCTGGCTCTACTCTAATATATACGTATAGCATTTTTACTACAATACACAACAATTTACCAATCAAGTGGCACTGATATGTTTGTTAACAATAATTAGTCAGTGTCAAAATGTCAATGGGTTGATAATTAACGAAGAAAATCAATACACATTTAAAAGGTAGAAATGGTTAGAATAAATTAATTTTACAAGGATAACACGTAATTAAAGATGAAGTGGTCAAAATAAAAATAAATTAATTTGGACAATTATAATTTAATAGGCTTAGGGGGAGGGGGGCGACGTAGTCCTGTCTTGTAACGATGGCCACGGTAAGGAAAGTGGCTGTACAAATTTCTTCTGTACACATAGGCTTGGTTTCTTCTGGTTGATTCCGATTGCTTCAGCTGTCTGTAGAAGACGAACTCGTAGAGGAAAGTTAAGATTAGTGGGAATGCGATAAATAATTTTAAATGCAGTATTCACATCAACCTTATGCTCACTAGGTGTCTACAAGGTGTGCTAAAATAGAGCTACGAACAAATCTTGTTTGTCCCTTGCTTAACCATGCTGGATGATGTTCGGAAATACGATGATGAACCTGCCTAATTGTACGCCCAATGTAGCTGGCTCCGCAGCTACAGTCAAACTGGTAGACACACATAGAAGATGCAAAATTAGGTAGTTTGTCCTTATTTCTCGAACATAGAATAGGGGTGGTTTTGAAGAGACAACGTACTTCTGCTGCATAATAAGCTCTTTTAACTGCATTCTTCAAGCGCTGTGTTATGATTTCGCTGATGTTGTCACCGAGGAACTGCAATTTTATGAACAGTGTTTTTTTCGAAACTGTAGCAATACTGACTCTCCTTGGTGCTGAATTCATATTCTTCTCAATAAATTTATCTGGATAACCACTTTTTCTAAGTAATTCTTTAATAATCTTAAGCTCCTCATTGAGGCAGTCGTCTGAACATATTAACTTAGCTCTATGAACCAGACACTTTACCAGGTTACGTTTATAATTCAAAGGTACAAAACTCAAAAAATGAGTGTACTGACCTGTTGTTGTAGTAGGTTTTCTATACAACACATTCCTTCTTAGTGTGCCATCTTCTTTCCTTGCCATGAAGACGTCTAGGAATGAGATACTGTCATTACTTTCTTTATCTATGGTATAGTTTTATTACTGAATGGGCAGCATGAAACTTGTCAAGGATGTTCATTGCATCGTTCTCGTTTTTCATAACCAGAGATGTACCATCCATATATCGACAGTAGAAATTTAAGTCATTAATTACTCAGTGGTCCATTCTCTAACTTAGCGAGGAAATAATCAGCTAGGATTGGACCTAATGTGGAACCCATAGCTACACCATTAGTTTGTCTGTAATATTCCTTATTGAATAAGAAATGAACGTTCATTGTGAGTCTTAAAATAAGTTCCTTCAAGGTGGATATAGAAATCCCGATGTCTGTGTTTCGTGTAGTAATCTCATCACATATAAAATCCACTGTCTCCATTAACGGTACACTGGTGAACAAGGAGGATACATCAAAAGATATCATAAACTTGTCCCTCACATTAAGATCTCTTATTTTGTCAACAAATTCAAAACTGCCATTTACGCTATGTTTTACCAATTCATTATGCAGAGGCTTTAGCAGCTTCCCTAGCCTGGTCCAGTGTAATACTAGTTCACCCAAGTATTCGGCGACTGGTCCTATTTAGACTGGTAGTTACCTAGGGTTCAGGTGGGAAGTCGTGACCATTAGGGTGCAACAGGTCGGGTGGGAGGACAAATACTCTCCCATAGGATGACATTGGCTAGTGGTCGTGTGAAGTCGTGAATCGGCAGAAGATAGAATTCATGGGCTGGCCATTGGATCGGGTTCCAGTGGATGCTGAATGGTCTACGAGCTCGCTAGCCTCGTAACAAGAAGGTCCTGAGTTCGAACCCTAGTGGTGGATGCATACTGATGAAGAGTCCCAGGCACTGGGACGAAACAGCTGTCCAGTACTCCCAGGTTTTCCAGTAGTTATTTAACCAATGTACACACACACACAAATAATTATATATAATTGTGGTGGTACAGCTTAGTAAATGAGTTCGCCTCCGGAAACAGATTCTACTCCGAACTATTTGTTCTTATATTCATGTCTGCATGGGCGTTTTTCGTCTCCGCAGTCCAATCTACATCTATATGAATGAGTATATGTTGTGTCCTTTTTGAGGTCTGTTTTGTGTTCTTGGATTCAGAGTTGATTGGGAACACCTTTTTACACCAATATAATGTTTATCACAGTCCATGTAATTTAACTTGTAGTTGGTACTGATTGTGTCATTTATTCGCTACTGGAGTTTTTGGTCTGTACTGTATGGAATGAGTCAAGCGATCTACAACGAAAAACTCAGCGGGCCGTTCGAAGTGAACAGAGGATTAAGACAGGAATCCCTGCCTATTATCACCGATAATATTCCTGTGCATTGGGAGTGAGAAGACGGGAATATGCTGCGGTGACCGATAAGAAGACTCTACAAGATCTAGATTTCGCACGTGGATGATTTATGCATAATGTCACATAAGCTTGAAGACATACACGCAAAACCTAACAAACTGGCCGAAGAAGGAGTGAAGACAGGACTGCAGGTAAACATGGAGAAGGCGGAGGTGGTCAAAATAACCAACCAACAGCAAGAGCAACGAAAACCAGCAATAGTAACAATCAGTTGGAGAGATTTGACACAGGTTACTTCCTTTATATATTTGGCTGGGAAGCACGGTTTCAATCACAGGTGAAATGCATGAAGATGTCCAAACTGGCTAGCCAGAATCGGAAAGGCAAGATACGTCTTCATCATCATCACTTGGAGCAAAATTGGAAATCTTTTGCACTCCGCCTCAGCATAAAGAATAAGATTTGGATTTTCAATACAAATTTAAAGTCAGTCGGGCATTTCTTCTAAACTAGTCGGAAACCTGGTGAGAGTATCAGGAAAACGATTTCCAACAAGTTACACACCTTTATTAACAGCTGCCCCCTTCTTCGGTTCCGTACTGAAGATGAAGTGGCCAATAAGGAAGAATCAAATTGAAAACATTTATTTTCCCGATACGAACTTCAAACAAGCAACAAAGCAGGTTAATAAAGCAGGATGATTTAATGAATTCATCAAATTTCGGTAGAACTCCTCGTCAGCTGAATTCTCTACATACACGGATATATATACTTTCGAAATTGCATTGAGAGATATAAGACTGATAAGCGAATAAACTACATTGAATTAGTCATGAGTGTGTCGGTAGCACAGCGGTTAGGACTCTCGATGGCCATTCACATGGCCCGAGGTTCGATCCCCTGCCAACGCACAACTGATATCTATAGTTGGCCTGCAAAATTTGGGCTACCGATATCATA